AAGAACACTGCACTTGGAGGTAAAAAATCTGAATTTGAATAGCAATTCTTCTGGTTTTTAGATTATCTCAAGCAAGCTGCATAGCTGCCTGAGTCTCAGTTTCCTGTTTTGTACAATAGACATGCTACCTTCTTCATCAGGTTCCTGTGATGATTAAATAAATTATCCAAAAACCGTAAGATTGACAAGATATAGCAATGAACCTGAGTGCGACTTGTAATCATTCAATTCAAAAAAGATCTAAATCTTACTACAGGTACCACCATATATTTTGATAAGTCATCAAAAATAAGTAAGACTTTTAGAGTTCAAAATGTAAATGTGGTTTCCCTGCCAGAGAGGAGACAGAAAAATCCTTTTTGTGAGTTATATAATCTTAGCACCAGATGTTCTGAATCTGAGTGTGTTACCTTAAACACCACTCATGGCACTAGGTTCCAGGATTTGAGTGTTACAGAGAATTTAAAGAAGATGGTTGAAATAGGACCTAGAAGAGTACATGGTGGCTCTAACCTGAATAATAAACAAATACCCTGTCCCATTCTGCTCGCCAATAATCTGAAACAGGTCAGCTATATTTATAAACAAACAGAGTAGGAATATTGGTCTCCTCACCTCCGCTGTGCCTGGAGGAGTCTGTCAGGACCACGCCAAAGTGGTCCGCAGCCTCCGAAACCACGGGGCGCTTCGGAATGCCCGCTGGAGGGGAGGGGGCCTGGGCATTTTTCGACGAGGGTGTTTTCTCTAGAAATATTAGAAAACATGCTGTAACATGAGCTTCTCTATATAAGCAAAGTAAGAAAAGATACCATGACATTCAACTGGCACACAGATGCAAACATATGGACTAACCTGTCACAGGTCTAAATTTAAGCCCTACATTGTAAATACCTACCTCTCAGAAGCACTGACTTTTAAAATTATTTTTTCTAGTACCTTAAAGGGAAAACTAAAATGAGTCTTTCTGCACAAGCTAACTTTAATTTACACACAGGAAAAAACACACACACACAAAAACGTCAAATGACTAGGGTAAAGGTTTTCAAACTGTCCGTTTTTCTTTTTACTGTACATATTTCTTAACTCTAAAACATAAAATTCATTATTAAAGAGATTCGGTTAAGTTTCTTCACAGAATAACTGTTGTACTAAGTTTTAAAATTTCAAGAGGCAAAAGGTGAAATGGGGTGATTATTTTAAAACTGAAAAACATGCTTATTCAATATTTATAGGTCAGACTCTGTAAACAACTGAGGACTAAATATAAAAATTAACTCAAAATACATTTCAAGTAAGAAATACTCATTATTTTTCTGGCCATCTCAGTAGTTAGATGAAAAGGTCTTTTTCAAAAGCCAATTGATAATTTCTTCTCAATCATCATACCTCCTTTTATTATTGTGCCCCAATAAACTCTGTCCCACCCATACCCCATCTCCCCTCCTTGAAGTCTTCTTATTGATCATCTGTGGCTGAGCTATGACAGCATCTTTTCCATCAAGCCTCCCCTCACAAGCTCCCCGCAGAAAGAATACTCTTTCTCTGCACATCCTGGCATTTTCTCTGCTAGTCTTTCCTAGCACTCACCAAGTCTGGTCTCTGCCTACACCCTTGCCTTCCTCCTGACCCTACAGCTAGAACTGTCCGTTGAAACATATATCAGGTTGTGTCACAACTCTGCTCAGTTGCCTTCCTCCTGATCCTACAGCTAGAACTGTCCGTTGAAACTTACATCAGGTTGTGTCACAACTCTGCTCAGATCCCTACAAAGCTCCCAACTCACTCAAAGTCAATGTCGACATGGTCCTGTGTGAATTGGCCACTCGGTCACCTCCCTGAGTGTTCTCCTCACTTACTCTGTTCCCATCAGAGGCTCCCTCAGTGTTCCAAGGATACACCACGCACACCCCACCCCAGGACCTTTGCACTTGCTATTCTCACTGCTGGGATGTTCTTTCCCCAGAGTCACATGGCTTTCCACTTCACCTCCTTAACATTCTGCTCTGCTGTTGACTGAAGACTTCTCTGGCCACCTCCCTAAACTGTGACAACTGCTACTCCATACACTTCCCACATCCATCCCCTAATTTATTTTTCTTGCTAACAGTCACCACTTCTAATATACTTGTAACCTAGGTATAAGTCTCTCCCAACTAGAATGTAAGCGCCTTGAGAACAGGAGTTTTGTCTATTTTGTTTATTGCCGGGCACATAGAAGCATTCAGTAACTATTAGCTGACCTGAGCTTTTACCGTGGAGTTGGTATTTATGCTTCTTTCTCACCTTTCTTAGCAAAGTGGAAGCTCCAACAGGATGGATGTTGTATTGATCACCTCTGTTCTCCCTGTGTCGGTTACCCTACGGCCTTACCTATCATAAGCTCTCAAAAATATCTGTGGAACATTGGGTGGAATGGAATAATATAACCATCCAATATGGCCAAAAAGAGGTACCATAATAGGCATATTTAATGAATTTATACATAAGACTCTCTACTAGCCAAAGGATGCTTACTAATAAAGCGACACAAGGCAGCCGGCCATTCCTCTTACAGATTTACTCACCTTTGCTGGTTCGGAAGGTCAGCATGGCGGGCTGTCCTTCGCCCGCTGCGCTTCTTGCTACCATCAGAACTTCATAGAGACTCGATGGCTCCAGTTCCGTTAAATGGAGCTCATTTTCACTGCCTGGGACTCGCACTGTGTGCCAGCTGCCCACCACGCCAACGCCATCATCCAGCTACTCAAGAGAAAATAGGCCATTAGAAACAGGAGATAAAGGGTAGACAAAGTTTCCATTCAAATTTGATAAAAACTACAAGTTATTCAGTTCCAGGGGAATTTTGGGAAGTGGTGTACCACGTTAAATAAAAGAGACACAATATTTCTTCAAATTAAGAAATATTAGGACTATAAGGAGGCCTGCAGCAAGAACCCAGGAATTCTCACTGTAAAGACTCCTGGCTCTGCTACCTCCCACCAACTACGGCCTCAAGCGAGTGATTTACCTCCCAAAGTCGGTTCCTTTTACTTGTAATGGAAACAATACTCGTTTCTTACTGGGCTAATGGGAGAATAAAGTAAGTATCTAATAATGTGTATTAATGATAACATACACTATACATAATAAATATGATAAAGTAGGATATGTATGCTTATATATATATGGGTTATATAATTATGGGTCATATATGTCTAGCATTCTTGCTTCATTCTTGACACTGTTCAATGGGTGCTGGATGAAATAAACGTAAGAGATCCAATCCATTATGTCTTCATTAATGGAAACAAGAGACAATCTCATATGGGAGTTTCCATGTGGCTAAGAACACTTCCTGCATCTAGAATCATCCAGTTAGGAAAGTAAAGAAACGTTCAAATCTCATGATGCTAGTTTTTCCAGATATTAAAAATATTACTATTAAAAGATGGATACCAAATATCTTGAACGAAGAAAATGATTTTTAAGTATGAGGGTCTCTCTTCCCATTTCATTCATCTGCTAGTCTCACTAAACAGAAGAGACTTTTAAATTTTGCTTTAATATAAGCCTCTGGAGGGAAAACATCTAGAAAATCAACAGTTTACTGTGATAAATAACCAAACAACACGAGATTCCAGTACAGTGAAGAAGACAACTTGAGATGCAAATGCTCATCAGAGATTATGCCCGAGGACTTTGTTCAAAAAGTTGTTTTCAATAAGAAAATGCTTCATTTGATAAATAAACTGGATATGACTATGTTAGACAAGGGGGAATGACTTCTAAAAGTGGTTGATAGCGCTTTATCCCCAAGAGGTTAAAATGTTTGCTAAAAACTGCTGAGAAGTCACGGGGTCCTGAGAATACCCATTTTGGGGAAACTGTTCATACTTCCTTCTCACTCCTTTATAAGCTGGTCAGTGCAGCCGGGATGTGTCTCCTGGAGCATCTTTCCTGCCGCTCCCCCAAAGGAAAGGTCATAAGCACATGCTACACACAGTGCGCAAGTGTGAGAAACGGTGATACCCGAGGAGACATACCTTCCGATACTTCACAAAGTAGGCATTGATGGGCAGCCCGCCGTCCCTCCCCGCCCTCCAGAGCAGGTTGTATGTGTCTGCAGTGGGGGTCTGCGGGGGGCTCAGGATGATGGGGGCCTCGGGCACTGAGGCGCCGCTCCCACTTTTCTCTGACGGTGACTCCACTGCGCTGAGATGTTCCCTCACTGGAAGCGAGCTCGCGAGTCCAGTTTCTGAACCCTCTCTCGTCTCACTCTGAGCGGCATCAGATGTGACGACTCCTGCTTTTGTATTTGTTTCCAAAGGAACTGCAGAGAAAGGGGGCAGGGAGAGAGGGAGGAAGAGGGAAGACGGCTTGAAGAAATGCATGATTCAGAGTCTTCTACACAGTGGCTTCACTGCCTGGCCACACTGATACAACGTGAGCCCTAAAAGGTAGAGCCGGTAACATTCAATGCAGAATTCGTGGAAACCTCTGACCTACCGTAGCTACCACTTATTCGTGAAGGAGAAAATTAATTGTTTGAAAAATCAATGATATGATGCAGTAGGTCAGTGGTGTAGAGGATGTTGAGCACACCTTATGCACCAAGCATGGTGCCAGATATTAATAAACATAATCTTATTTAATTCTTAAAACAACATTCTTAGAAAGTAATATTCCCACTTTACAGATAAAGAAATCAGGGTTCTGAGGGATTACGTGACAACAGCTGGCAGACGAATGTTAGTAGAGCTGCTAGGAAGAAGTGACAGGGCAATATATTAAAACAAATACATTGCCAGCACAAGAAAACTTAAGGATTGACAGTGAAGGTTCTCTAAAGCAGCGGTTGCCAACCTTTCGGACCTCACGGACCACCAGTGATCTGCGGACCACAGGTTGCTGACCGCTTCTCTAAAGGGCTATTAATATTGACCAAAAAAAGTCTCCTTTTTTTTTTCTTTACTACTTTTGTGGAGGAAGGGAGCACAGGAAACAACGCTGGAGTTTCTTTTCCACAGTGAAGTCAGATTTCTGGTAAAAGGAGGGTGTGTTTTTAGGAGAGCTCCTGCAGTTTAGTAGAGAAGCAACAAAAACCAGGACTAACAGTGTAAGGTCAATTCTCTGTTTGTTTAAAAGAGAGAAAAGGTGTCCCAGGAGCATCCTCCATCAAAGAACACAAGAAGCTAATGAGAAAATAATAGAGGAGAAAACTAATTAAGCTCACTGAGACTGCAAAATATTGCTCCTGGAACGGCCATGTTTACCTAGTGAGTCAGAATGTGGGCTGATGGGAAGGGTGGGATCTGGTGCCTGCTAATGCAGAATCGGACGCAAGCGAGTGGGGTGATTAGCTGTGGCTCACGGTATGGAGAAACCTTCTTAGCAACAGCAGTTTCACGGATCCTCTGGGCAGGTTACCACGGGGAAGTGGTGTTGGGCTGTAGGAGAGTTTCAATAGCGCATGCCTCAGTTTATACAGAGGCATGAGAAAAAGTGCGTGCTCCATCCGGCCTGTGTCTCAAAGTTCTACTCTGTTCCTCAGATGCAATGTGACTGTCCATACCCTTCTATCCAGAGGATTCAACCTATCTTCATTTACTATCCCAGTCATATACCTTGAGCCCTCACCAGAGACTAGATACAATTTATAAGGCCTTAACAGTACTTTCAAAAACTTTTTCATATATGTTATTTCAACTTATCTTCAAAGCAACTCTGTGAAATGCCAGAGTAGATCTCTAGCACTTTGTAAGGTGGAATGGTTTTCAGCACTGGAAAACAGATGGATGAAACTGTGGTTTTCTAAATACTGTAACTATGGCAATGAATTTAATGACTGAGTTGAAACTAATCAAACAGGGACTGTAACCATATCTGTCAAAGTTGTTCCTACTGTGACCACTCAGAGCAGCAACCCCACCCAACACTCTAGGAAACTCAGGCCAACTCTCATAGGGGTCTTGAAGAGCTACAACTCACTACAAATATCTGCACATCCACTACCCCAAAGGTCAAGGTCTCTGGAAAGAAAAAAGCCAGGGATGTGTGTGTGGGGAGAGGGGTAGGGGAGACCGTCCTCTCTCTCTTTGACCTGGCCTATTCCCCTGTTCACAATAAACAATGTAAATTTGCCTGTCAGTACACTGACATTTAATAAGGCTCAGATTCCTGTGGAAAGAAGCGGACTGTACTGTTCTGAGCATTAATGAACTCAGCTGCATCTCAATTATTAGAGAGCATGTAAAAGAGGCAATGCAGGACCACTTCGGCAGGATGTAGGTGATGGCGTTACTATACATAAAAATGGTATTTATCAAGACATTTATTGTGCAGAGGGCCATCTTAAAGGTCTAAGAAGATCTAATCTAAACAAGGCAGTCTATGTATCTTTTAAGGGCTTCAGATCACATGTAAAGTGAGGCATTTAGAGGAAATATCTGGTTTCATCAGCTATGGCTATGACCTCTACAGCTCCCTCTACCCTACATTTACATAAAGCCACCACTTCAGCTAAATGCTCCCCAAGCAGCACCTGCACTACACCTGTCTTACAGCTAACAACTCTGTGAACAGCCACTCTTACTTTTGCTTAGCAGATCCAATACATAAACACACACATATGCGTATTCATATATATTTATACACTTAGCACTCAATACCCTCTTTACTTGAGGATTTGTAAAGGTACTAAAATCAGTGACTATTCCTTCCTTCCTTAATCACCACATGGGTGATTATGATTTAGTAAAAAGTAGATAGTAATAGCCATACCCTAACACGCAATATTTATTGGAGGATTTCTGTTGCTAGACACAATTCTTTGCACTTTACACCTATTAACTCCCTGAATGCTCACATGGACCCTAAGAGTGGGGCATGTCACTATACCTGTTCCGCAGGCGAGGAAACAAGCAGAGACGAGTTCAGTAACTTGCCCCGGGTACTAAGCTCCTGCGTGGCAGAGCCAACCTCACACAGCCTGCGAGCTTACACTCACACCATCCCCGCCTCTGCATGCATGCACTGAGGAGCACAGAGTGGCAATGGAGTCCCTGGCCTTCCCCTCTCTTTCCACCTCCAGCCTCACCCAGAGCTAGGGACCTTGCGTACATGCAAATGGAAAGACAGGGCGCATCCACCCTCTATCTACCTCACTATCACTCCTATGCAGACAACCAGCCCCTGGCCACTCCCCTGGTGCAAGGGACCTGCACACCCCTGGCCACTCCCCTGGTGCAAGGGACCTCACACTCCGGGCCGCTCCCCTGGTGCAAGGGACCTCACACCCCGGGCCGCTCCCCTGGTGTAAGGGACCTCACACCCCGGGCCGCTCCCCTGGTGTAAGGGACCTCACACCCCGGGCCGCTCCCCTGGTGTAAGGGACCTCACACCCTGGGCCGCTCCCCTGGTGCAAGGGACCTCACACTGGTGGTGTGGCCTACACTCTGTTGGATGGACCAGGGGAAAGACCTGCGTGGAATCAGACTGCACTAATTGAAGCAGGAAATTCTGAAGCCCAGGCCTGTTGTACAGAAGGAGGAACAGGTCACCAATTTCTGGTAAGCAGCCCCTTGACCCCATGGCCTCTGACCTGTGGGGCCCGAGGACCCGAGGACCCAGGCAGAAGAAAGACCACTAAAGCAGAGGCCCAGGGCAGGAACCTCGGGTCCAGGAGTCAGGGCAGCACTGCTCTGTGATCGTCTTACTCTCACATGACAAATATGGTGACAATCTCCACTCAACTGACTACCTGCTGGGAATGCTGTTCTAAATATATACTGAGGACCCTGGCTGGGTAGCTCAGTTGGTTAGAGCGTTGTCCCAATACACCAAGGTTGTGGGTTCCATCTTCTGTCAGAGCCACATACAAGCAACCAATGAATGGTCGCCCACTCTCCCCCTTCCTCTCTCTCTCTCTCAAATCAATAAATGAAATTTTAAAAATTTAAATACCTACTGATGTAAGGTTTGAATTTGAATTTAGTCAAATTTGAATTTATTTTAATAATATTGATATTTTATTACCAGTACTTCAAAAACTAGATGTTAAGTCACCACCAAAAAAAAAAAAATCAGTAAAATATACAGAATTAACATTATACACCCCATTAGAAAAATAACAAATAAGATGGGGGAACACACAGGCAGGCATCGTTTGAGAGTACCAGGACTGCACTTGCTTTATGAAAGCCAACCCTTCAGACCGTGGGTGCTGCTCTGATCAAGGGTTCACCTTGAGAATGTCTGCAACGGCAATTTCAGTAGCTTAGAAAACCAGAAGCATTCATCACACAAAGCGGTCTGTGGGGTCTAGAATGAGTCTCCCCAAAATGTGCCTCAGTGGCATGCAGACTGTTTTGAGCTAAAGACAACGGTAGCTGCAGGCTCTCAAGAAACCTCTGCCCCTGCCTCACTACCTGGAAGAATTTTATCAGAGGCCTTGCCCAGGAGGGATGAGCAGAGACAACCTCTTCTGACTATCTACAGGGCAGGACAATCTTCGGTTTACTGAAGGTCTGCTCTTCTTATCACCTGCCATGTCCTATGTACCTATGTTCCCTTTCTATCTTGGAACCTCTCCTGCATGCGGGGTCTCTGGCTCTCTCATGTATGTGGGGTTCCCATACACATGTATGTATTAAATTTGGTTCTTTTCTCTTGCTACTCTGTCTCCTATCTATTTGATGATTAGACCAGCCTTGAGGATAGAGAGAAGTTTGTTCCTACCCCACAGGTCATATCTGGAGCTTCCATATGACAACTACAAGCTTAGCAAATACATCAGAAATGGAGGCCAAAGTTCAGCCAGTTCATGTTAAGGCCAAATATCAAAAACTACCATTCTACATATCACTGTCATTAGGGAAAAAATTCTATCTTTAGAGACTGCTGGATTCATTAAGCTACCACTTTAAAGTACTTTATCTCCTATTATCAAAGAAAACTATTCACCTGGAAAAGAAAACACTAATGGCAACTCACCCACTGTGAGGACAGCTTCCGACTGCGTGGAGCCGTGTTCATTCGTGGCTTCGCAGGTGTACTTCCCCGCATGCTCCTGAGCAACGGCCTGTATGTACAGTGAGCTGGAGCCACCTCGGGACATGACGAAGTAGACAGGCTCTGCGTCAAAGCCCCCGGGTCTTAGCAAGTGCGACTTTCGGGATTTCGATCTAAGGACTTGAGACGGGTGGCTGGTTATCAATCCATGCCTGTCATACCAGCGCATGACCGGAACTGGCACTCCGGTGGCATTACAGGACAAAGTCACAAAGTCTCCAGCTGCCACCTTTGTGCTTGCTGGGGCTGTAATTATTACTGGCTTGAGTCCACTGTCTGTTAAGAAAGTCATTCACATACAAAAAATTAAGAACATTATAGTATCACAGTGCAAAATAATTCCATCCTATTGTGTAAAAGTTCTCAATGTCGTGAGCAAATGGCAGTCAGAAACATCTCTTTTATACGTGTTTCTAAACAGTGTTTTACATGCAGAACAGTGTGAAGAACACGATCATTCACTGAAATAGTGTTTGCAATGTCACACACAAGTAGTGATACAGTCAGGATAGTAATGATTGGAACAAAGACAATTCCCTTGTTAGTTCTCTTCTCAACCTGCACCAAGTAAAGCATCAATAAAAAGTAGGATTTTTCATAGTTGTCGGGTCCCACACATTTCCTACACAGATTTCCTGTCCTTCAGAAAGAAAGGAATGTATATAATCTGCAGAGAGCTTTCCAATAGGTATCCTGTACACACGTGACCACTAAAAATATAGACCGTGTGAAGCCAAAACCTCAGACTTTAACATGAAAAAGGTGTAAAGTGGCAAAAAACGATTCCTTCATGAAAACAGTCAATTTCTGGTGGTGGGAGATAGGATTAAGCAATCTATAATAATAAAAGCATAATATGCTAATTAGGCTGGACATCCTTCCAGACAACCTTCAGGACGAAGCCAGGGCTGTGAGGGAAGCCCGGGTCCCGGGTGCCAGAGGAAAGCCAGTGCCGGCAGCCGGGGGAAGGAAGGCCTACTCTTGCACGAATTTCCTGCATCGGGCTTCTAGTCTGATTATAAAAAGCCTGTGAACCCTGACCAGGTGGCTCAGTTGGTTGGAGCACCCTCCCATACACCGAAAGATTGCAGGTTCTATCTCTTGTCAGGGAAGTGCGGAAGGCAATTGCTTAATGTTTCTTTCTCACATCAATCTTTCTCTTTCTCTCTGTCTCTCTCCTGTCTTCTCTCTAAAAAAAAAAAAAATCAATGAAAACATATCCTGGGATGAGGATTTTAAAAACAAAAGCTTGGGAGAAAACTCTGTTCTGAGTACAAGTTGATAAACATACTTTCTACCATATCATGAACATTTTTGTTTCTAAAAGTGGCACCAACTCTTCGCTTTTGGTCCCCAGTATTCTCGGGAATATTTTTTTTTCTTTTTTAAAATATATTTTTATTGATTTCAGAGAGGAAGGGAGAGAGAGATAGAAACATCAATGATGAGAGAGAATCATTGATCAGCTGCCTCCTGCACAATCCCACTAGGGATCGAGCCAGCAACCCGGGCATGTGCCCTTGAACAGAATTGAACTCGGACCCTTCAGTGTGCAGGCCGACACTCTATCCACTGAGCCAAATCAGTTAGGGGCTTGGGACTATTTTTAAGTATGCCTACAATGGAATACTGGTGACAAATGACATTTTCTCCAGCATATCTTTCTCTTTCTCTAGTCCAACTCCCTGCATTTGAGAAGCCAATCAACATTTGCCACTATCAGGTCTCTGACTCTGGTACTATCAGATCTCTGAATCTCGTATGAGTTAAATGCTACATCTCACTAGTCATAACCTGCATTTCCCTGAGCACTAATGACGCTGAATATCTTTTCACGTGTTTATGTGTCACATATTTTTCCTTAGTGAAATGTCTTTTGTCCATTCTTCTACTGGATCATTTATCTTTTTTGCAATGGTTCAGAGTTCTCTGCATATACCACATACTGTTCTTTTGTTAGTTACTAAGTTACTAGTATCTTCTCCCAGCTTCTTTTCATTTTTCGTGGTATCTTTTAATGACTAGGATATTTTAATTTCAATAGCCATCAATCTTTTTAGAAATTAGCCTAAAATACCTTGTTAAAAAGTTTTACTGAGATCATACAGATATTCTTCTCTGATTTCTTCAAAAACTTTGCCATTTTGCCTTTCTACTAGTGTATAGACCTTTAACCCACTGGGAATTTCTTTGGATACAAGATGAGTTAGAGATTCACTTCCTTCTTTTTCTCCACTTGGACAGCCAATTATTTCACATCAAAACTTGACCTGGAGGTCCACCGCCTGGTGCTCTGCAAAGCCACCTAAGTCAAGTCCTTAGTGCAAGTGTCTTTTTGAAGATCTCTGCCTCGTTCCAAGAGTCTATTTTTCTGTTCCTGCATCAATACAACTGTCTTAATTGCCCCAGATTTTGGAATATGTTCTAAAATGTGGTGAGGCAAGGACCCCACATTTTTTTCTTTTTTAAGAATGCCTTATCTATTCTTGGGCCTTTGACCATCCATAAAAATTTCAGGATTGGCTTGTCAAAGTCCTCAAAATATTCTGATAGAATTTTAATTGAAATTGCAAGAATCTACAGAAAGACTTTGGAAAGATCTGTTGAAAAAATTTTTTTAAAAAAGTTGTTAATGAGCTGATTAAATAAGGCCGCTTCATGGACATGCCTATCTGCAACTAGGAAGGACCAGGGAACATGGAGCAGTTCTGTGAGGGTGACGGGATCATTCCCTTTAGTTAAATTTCAACCATAACAAAAGCTTGTCTGACAAGTAGAATTTCCTATAATTAATCACATGACTAAACACTACCTTTTTGAATGTCAAGTCTCCCAGTAGACTGCATAAATCCAATCCCATTATCCGCGACACACTGATACAGGCCAGAGTCTTCCATGGTAACACCACTGATTTTCAATCCATTTTCTGCAGTTAGATGTCGTGGGGAAGGAGGAATGGGCTGTGCATTATGAAACCAGGTACGGTTGGGGGATGGGTTCCCACGAACCTCACAGGTAAACTGCACTGTGGCCCCCAGAGACACAGTCTGATCCTGCAGTCCTTTAGAAATAGAAGCATGTTCTGAAAACAAAACATAAATTATCACACGAGTCAGATAAAATCTTCCCTACCAATAACTAGTTAAAACCAAACTGGATTGTTTATTCACATTCTCCCATCTGCTGTGGTCAAGAAAAAAATTAGAAATGTATTTTAACTTTCCTTTCATAGGGTAAACCATATGTTACTAATATGTTATAATCTCTTTTTATAGCTCTCCCGACCCACTTAACTCCCTCAACACACACACATACACATAAAGTTTCTAATTTGGGGCTTCTCTTAGCATTAGTTTCAGGTGATTTGTTTGAAATAAAGTAATAGTTGCCCTAGATTTCAAACAAGAGCCAAAACAGAAAAACTCTTATTCAGAAGTTAAAATTCTTTTTTATAGCCAATTCTTAGGTGTATACTGGCCAAAAAACTTCCTTTAATATCCATCAAGTGAGTTTTTACCTAAACAAAGTAAATCATGCACTGACATTTGTAATATATGCCCAAATTAAATGATTAGGCATATTAATCTAGTCCTAACGATCATTAAACCTTAAAGCCCATTCGCCATACACTTACATTCATTTCAGTGAAACCTACATCAGGCCACTGTTGCAATTACACTCACACAGATTTACAAAAACTGTATTAAGTATGAAACCATTTACCATCTATTTTTTCTGGTTTTCATGAAAACCTGCTTTTATAAAGGAAAACCTTTCTGCTACTACACATGACAGAGAGGTAGCTGAGAGAAAGGAACAGCTTTGAGATAAAGAGTAGACATAGAAATGTAGATGAAACTAATGCTAATTCTATGAGCCAGATACAGTGAAAGCATTGCAAAAGGGAAAATGAATGAAATAGATTCCTTTTTGAGATATTTTCCAGTCAGTTCTCTGCCTTAGTTACTATTACTGGACAGTACACCTGATAGTAGCCCAGAATATTCCATCCTGCTG